ACTCTTGTGGGACACTCTTGTAGGACACTCTTGTGGGACACTCTTGTAGGACACTCTTGTGGGACACTCTTGTGAGACACTCTTGTAGAACACTCTTGTGGGTCACTTGCAGGACACTCTTGTGGGACACTCTTACACGACACTCTTGTAGGACACTCTTGTGGGGCACTCTTGTAGGACACTCTTGTAGGAAGCTCTTGTGGGACACTCTTCTGGGACACTCTTGTAGGACACTCTTGTGGGTCACTCTTGTGGGACACTCTTGTAGGACATTCTTGTGGGACACTCTTCTGGGACACTCTTGTAGGACACTCTTGTAGGACAACCTTGTGGGTCACTCTTGTAGGAAACTCTTGTGGGACACTCTTGTAGGACGCTCTTGTGGGACACTCTTATAGGACACTCTTGTGGCTCTTGTGGGAACCTCTTGTAGGACACTCTTGTGGGACACTCTTGTAGGACACTCTTGTGGGACACTCTTGTGAGACACTCTTGTGGGACACTCTTGTGGGTCACTTGCAGGACACTCTTGTAGGACACTCTTGTGGGACACTCTGAGACACTCTTGTGGGACACTCTTGTGGGTCACTTGCAGGACACTCTTGTGGGACACTCTTGTAGGAAACTCTTGTGGGACACTCTTGTAGGGTACTCTTGTGAGACACTCTTGTAGGACACTCTTGTGGGATACTCTTGTCGGATACTCTTAGGGGACACTCTTGTGAGACACTCTTGAGCGACACTGTTGCGGGACACTCTTGTGGGACACTCTTGTGGGACACTCTTGTGGGACACTCTTGTAGAACACTCTTGCGGGACAGTCTTGTAGGACACTCTTGTGGGACACTCTTGTGGGACACTCTTGTGGGACACTCTTGTGGGGACACTCTTGTGGGACACTCTTGTAGGACACTCTTGTAGGACACTCTTGTGGGACACTCTTGTGGGTCACTCTTGTAGGAAACTCTTGCGGGGCACTCTTGTAGGAGGCTCTTGTGGGACACTCTTTTTGGGACACTCTTGTGGAACACTCTTGTGGGACACTCTTGTAGGACACTCTGGACACTCTTGTGGGATACTCTTGTGGGACACTCTTGCAGGACACTCTTGTGGGATACTCCTGTAGGACACTCTTAAGGGAGACTCTTGTGAGACACTCTAGTGGGACACTGTTGCGGGACACTCTTGTGGGACACTCTTCCAGCTCCCCAGATACTACAGTTGTACTACAAGGTCGCCAGGTCTCAGCTTCCAGCTCCACAGAATTGCTCCGCGTACTAAAGTTGTACTAC